TAGACTGATTTTCCTTTAGTTTATATCACAATGTTTTTCATACTGTTTATTGTCTGTCTTTTCTCAATGGAATGCTGGCTTCTTGAGGTTTGGGACCCTTGCTTGTTTTCCTCACTGCTGTGTTCCCAAGGCCTAGGTGCCTGGTACCTAACAAAAACTCAATAACTATTAGTTTAATGAATGAACACTGAAAGAAGGAGTGATAGAACAACTATCTTTTTTTTTTTTTTTTTTCTGTGTGACTAATATAATTCAAGGAATCCCTGGATAGTGCAAATGGTTAACCACTCAACTACTAACCCAAAGGTTGGTGGTAAATAAAGCCTGTTGATCTGCTTCTGAAAGTTTGTAGCTTTAAAATCCTATGGAGCAGTTCTACTCTGCACACTCGGAGTTGCCATGAATTGGAATTGACTTGATAGCAACTAAGAATAGTAATATAGTTATACCAATCACCCAATATTTATAAACACCAATTATGTGACTAGCACTGTGTTCCATGTATGGCATTTACTAAATGCCAGGCACTCTTATAAGCACTTTATGTAAAGTAATTCTTTTAATTCCATAATAACATTATGAGTTGGTGTGCAAAGATCAATAAAATGTAAGACTAGATTATTTTCAGGAGCTCTGGTGGCGTGTGCCTAAGTTATTTGACTGCTAACCAGAGGCTGATGGTTCAAACCCACCAGCCACTCCTTGGAAGGAAGATTGGGCAATCTACTTCCCTAGAGATACTGCCTCAGAAACCCAAAGAGAGGTCACTATGAATTGAAATCAACTCAACGGCAATGAGTTTGGTTTTCTTTTGTTTTTGTAGATTATTTTCCATAAATAACATCAAATCTAGTTAAGAAATAACAGTAATGGAAGTAAATGATCAGAAAATAATCGTTGTTGTTGTTATTGTTATGTGCTGTCGAGTCAGACCCGACTCATAGAGACCCTCCTTGAGTTTCCAAGGCGGTATCACTATGGAAGTAGATTGCCCAATCTTTGTTCCCAGGAGTGGCTAGTGGGTTTGAACCACCAGCTTTCTGGTTAGCACTCAAGTGCCTTAGGCACTATGCTACCAGAGCTCCCAGAAAATAATACAAATTTATAATAAAAGCATATAATTATTACATTTTGAATTACAATTAAATTTTGAAGGAAGAAAAATAGAGTCAGTATTTCAACTTTTAAAAGGAGTTGATAGTTCATCTTGGTCCTCAGAGATGGGAGGAATTTGGATAGAAGACAGGGAGAAAAAGATGATATTCCTGTATAAAAAACTGAATTAAGGTAGAGAGCGAGGACAACCTTTGGAATCTGGGAATAATAGTATATGTAATTGGGCAGACAAGGAGACAAATCATGGATAGCTTTGAAACCCAGTTAGAAGGGCTTAGACCAAAGATGGCAGGTAGCAGTGAGTCACTGTGATTATGTGTGTGTGCATGTGTGTGTATCACTCATAAAATCAGAAAAACAAGCCTTTTTCAGCCTTATTATTTATCCCAGTTCTTGCCATATAATGAGCCATCACTAAATTATAGCTATTACTACTACTACTACTACTACTACCACCACCACTACTACTACTACTATGACTACTACTATTACTACTACTACTAACAATAATAATAATAGCAGAGAAAGCTTTGCCTTGAATTTTCAATCTGGATAAATGTACTTGTTCTAGCTGATTTGTATCAAGCCTATCTAATTTATCTTTTTGAAGTTGCATACTGTTTAACCATAATAGTATTAATTAAGACAAATAATAGGATTTCTTTATGACAAAAATAAGCAGACCCCACATACACTCCAGCAAAGAAACTGTGTTGTTTTAGTGGCATACCCACAGACAGATATCAAAAATAACCACATGATGAAGTTTTCAGATGACTAGCTTATCTATATTTCATTAAAAATGTGCTATTTGCAACTCGACAGCATTCAGTTATAGCTTTTGGATTCCCCATGGAATTTATTTCACTAAAATTCAGCCAGTATGAAAACAGGCATTTCCCAGAGGAATAAACAGAGGAGTCATAATAACCTCTGCAAGATCCTCTATAAACTTCAAAGAATATGAGAAAGTATGTAATTTGTGTGTGTGTGTGAAGATAGGGGAGGTGGAATATAAACAAACCATAACTCAAAAGCTCTTTAGTACTTTTTAACAGTACAAAAAAAAAAAAATCATCTAATTATAGTGTACCAATTTCTTTCATACAATGTATTTTATACTAAACATTCTTCAAACACCTTGCCAGAGTTAAGTAGTACAATTTGTAATTAAATATTATGCTAGCCAAAGAAAAATAGGCCAAGGTTCTAAACAAGCTGTTCGTTGATGCAGAGGGCTGAATAACGGGCTTCTGTAGGGGAAAGACTAAAGAGTCAGAGAGGAAAAACCCTCCTCTTAACAAAGGAAAAGAGAAAGCAGAGTGGGAGGGAAAACAGTTATTCACATCTTTTGACCATTTTAACGCCAACAGTTTGAGTTAGAAAAAATTCAAAATCACTTAAATTCATGTATGCAGTGTATTACCTCTCATGTTCACCAGTGGAGAAGACATTTTCTTTATGAAACACCCTGGGTCTGTGCCAACTAATTACCAGAAAGAAAGGTCATCTCCTCACAGAAAAGGCACTACCTTTGTTGCTAAAATGCTGGATTAATCTCTTAACAAAGTTGAAATATTTCTAATTCCCCTTGCCCTTCAACCTTGCAATGAATCAGTCTTTCAGCAGTGTTCTTCTTTCTCCTCACCTCCTGTGTCCTTTTCTGTCTGGACCTGAAATTCCAGACATTCCATTCTGCACTCTGTACCCCTTACACAATCGTCCATGTTACTTGGGGCTTTGCGGACACAGCCACTCTTTTTCTTAGCCTGTGGTCTTGTAGCTTGCTGCCAAAACATCCCTTGCCATCCTGAGGACCCTTATGCAACTTGTGACAGAGGCTGAGTTTCTAGCAATAGGATTAACTTCCGGTGAAAGTGCACTGCGTGCTTTGAGTGCAGGCCGCTGTTTGCTTTTCCAGTTGGCAAACTACACAATGACTTCAGCAATGCTGCTTTGGACATTTTGTTGAGGGTGTGGATATTTTGTGACAAAGTTGTTAACTCTTGCTTTTTCTTAAGAATAATGAGCTAAAGACCAGTTTCAATTAGTTTGTCTTGGTTTGTTTGGTTTTTTTAATAAACCAACTATTTGCTTAAGCGGAAAGAGCCTGCTTTTAACACCCTAGGTGGGTCTGCTCTCTAGAAGCCATGGTCCCTGGCATGAAGTAAAGCCATCTATAACCCTACACTAGGAGTTCTGGCAGTGTAGTGCCTAAGGCACTTGACTGCTAACCAGAAGCCTGGAGTTTCAAACCCACTACCCACTCCTGGGAAGGAAAGTTGGGCAATCTACTTCAGTAGTGATACTACCTCGGAAACCCAAGGAGGGGTCGCTATGAGTCAGGTCTGACTCAACGGCACTTAACAACAACAACACAACATAACCCTACACTGTGGTGTCCCTGCCGTTTGCTCTCCCGCGCTTGCTCCAACTGCTCCCATCATGGCGTCTGGTGAAGTTCACAGAGCTAGAGGAGCCAAAAGTGGTTTCCATCTCACTGGGAGCAGCAGGCAGATGCTGAGAGTGGAGGACCCAGGTCATGGTTACACAATCCCAGAGCAACCATGACATGCTCTGGAAAACAAAACAATAGCTGAACACTGAAGTATATGTAAAAGCACTTTCCCCCTGTGACTCAAGAATATTACTCTGAATCTTAGCAACACAAAGCAATGGTGCTGCCTCAGTCTTTTGAACATCAGGCCTGAACCTAAACATGCCATTAAATCGAGCTTAAATGTTTAAAGAATGAGTGCGTTCATGTAACTCTGTTTGTTGGGATATCCTCCATTCTGGCTTTATGCCAGAGAGCAGCTTTTGGAGTTAGTGTCTCTGATGTCTTTGCATTTGACTTCTGACCCAAACTTCAGTGTTATTTTCAGCTGCTCTTTGACAGGGAATCCAACAGCTGCTGTTTCATAGCACAGACAACTTGTAACACATGCTGAGTTTCTAGCAATAGGCTTGATCCATGATTCTGGGCTCTGATTTGAAGATGGCTACAATTTTCCTGCATGGGGATGGGGGGAGTCCAAACCTAAAGTATAATGTTAACTTCTAACAATAAAAAAAAAAAATCTTGCTACAATTATAAGGTAACTGTGAAGTGTACTGCTCATTAGTAACTGTGACACTGGATTTGAAAACACTTTTCAATAGAATATAGTAGTAACAGAGATACTAAAATGTTAGATATTGATTTATAAATGCTGGTTGGAGTTTTACTATTATTATTAAAGTCCATAAGAAATCTGAGCCTCTGAGGAAGTGTGATTATTCTATCTAAACTTAATTTGATGAAAGGCAGTACATTTTAGAAAAGCAGATTAATCTAAAAATGTATTTCAAGAAACTTTGTGACTTAACTCCAAAACAAATGGCAGAATTTTTTTTAAAATACATTTTTGGAGGTTCTTTTTTTGCATGAGAAGGACTTCAGAACACTTGAAAAGATTGATTTCCAGGTCACTGATTTACTGGATTTAGGATTTATGATTATAACTGTACAGCTTCATGGCAAAATTAATTTGAGTTTTCAGGATGTAATTTTTTTTTTTTTCATTTGTTATCAAGCATCAAATGATAGGCAGAAAGCTCAAAGCAGTCCTTCACATTTAAGATAATGGCAAAAATAACAGGCAGCTTAGTGTTACCATACTAGGGGTGTGTCGATTCTCTCCTGTGCTCTCCTCTCTCTCATGATAAACTCAATGGGGTTGTCTATTTTTAACCTCCTGTTCTTTCCTTTTGGCAGAGTAATCAGTGCGAGCTGAGCTCTTTCCCTGAATGAATCCAACACTGATGGTCGCCTTCTGAAATGACCAGCAGACACACATCTGCACAGAAGCGGCCCGAAGTATAAACTCTGGTTCTAAAATACCATGTCCAGCCAAGAAAGTCCTGGTATGGAGTTCTCTACAACAACAGTCAGTTCAGTTGCTGTGCAGGCTGGGGACTCCAAAATCGTTATAGCTGTTATAAAGGTAAGTCACAACTTTCTTTTTCTGTGGGGCTGCGGGCTGGCTTCTTGCTGTGTTTGAAAACCCTCAAGATCATGCCACACAATTGACAGTATCACAGCAAGAACCTGTTACTGCTTTTTGAAATCGGCAGCTGAGAGAAACCTCTTCTAAGTTTTAACCAGAGTTTCTCTTTTCCTTTGTTAGTCAGAACACAAGTAAACAGCTTGGGAAAAATCTCCTCCATTATTTCCAATTTGCCTTTTAAAGGCAGGGTATTTGTGATGAAAAGACTAAAGATTGCCAAACTGAGGTGTCATGGGGACCTGTGAAAGGCTTACATTTTTTTGGAAGGTGGATGTGATGGAGGAGGGAGGTACCAGCAGATGAGGGCTGGCACTGTTTTGAGCATGATGGAGAGTAGGCAACAGCTAGTAAGAGGCTGTATCATGTCCCCTCCTGCAGCCCTCGTTTTGACATGGTAGAAGCTAATGGGACTACTAAACCCGTGCCCCATTGTTGGGGGGAAGAAGCCCTGCTTGTCAAGGTGCAAAGGGCATGTATCAGAAATGCTCTTAATAGCAGGAAGTTAATGTCACTTAAGGCTTAAGGTTACTGCATGTTTTATGTCAAGCAATTTGTCCATTTGCAAAGATGACTCCATCATTTTTTTCCTTATGAAAATGCCTTGCATCCTCCTGGGGTTTTAGACAATTCACCACCTAAAGAATTCAGTGTTTAATGAAGGGAACCCCTGCAAACAAGCCAGTTTCTTTCAGGACCCACAAGGCTTAATTGAATGGCTTTTCTGGCCTTCTGTTAAAATATAGACAATAATTCCAACTCACAGCAACCTTCTAGGACAGAGCAGAACTGCCTCATAGTGTTTCCAAGGTTGCAAATCTTTATGAAATCAGACTGCCTCGTCTTTCTCCTGTGGAGCAGCTGCTGGGTTCGTACCACAAAACTTTTGGTTAGCAATCACATGCTTTAACCACCAAAACTCCAATAGACAATAAGTCCTGTTTAAATTTAACTTACTTGCCTGTGAATTTTATGGTAATGTAAAAATTCCTAACAGGAAAACTGCACTTGACAATGAGCAAAGTGATTTATTACAGAAGTACAGAATGCAAAGTATTCCTACCACGGCCGATTTCCCAGTGCTATTGAGACTTGGCCCCTACATAAAGGGGCCCTCTGCTGACTCCTTTACACTCTAATATTGATTTTCAAAGTCAGTAAGTTAGGATGAAAAGAAGCCTGAAGTAGAAGGAGTAAGAATCGGTCATTTGCATGTCAATTATCAATTTAATGATGCTTTGAGTAACTGCAGCTTTTAGCAGTGAGGAAAAAAAAGGTAAACTCATGCAGGATAAGGAATAATCCTTACAGAATAAGTTATGAAAGAATCAGTGGTAGATTGAAAATAAGGGGGAAAAAAACTTTAAAATTACACTGGAAACTTTTATTTCAACTGAATTCTGTTTCTAGGAATGTCCCCTCCTCCCACCATCACCTCTTAACCTCACTGCCTCTCCATGTAAAATCAATCCAAACTATTCTAAGAAAATCTACTTATCAAGGAGTGGAAGTGCCTGTGTCTGTAATCTATTTGGGTTTCTTTTTTCCAGACTGTCTCAGAATACTAATTATATTCTGGAATAGAAGCATATTTTTCTAGTTTCTCTTTAGTAATCCAGTTACCCACATGCACATGCCTATTAGTAGTTCCTCAAGCTTAATCAGTTGTTGCTTCTTAGAAAAGCAGTTCCTCAGAAAATGCAATGATGAATTGTGTCTTGGAGCAGGGAAAGAGTCCTAAGTGTGGAGAATAAGTTGACTGCATTCAAATGGCAATTGGCACATGCATCTAATTTTACTCATTTTTGTACAGATTTTATTGAATAATTAACAACAATATTTGGAAAATATCTTTGAAATAAGATAAAAACCAACCACATCATCTGATGTTTATTTTTTTCTTTTTGAGCCAGCAAAGGCAAATATAAAGAGACTACTTAGCCTAAATCGCATTTACTAAAATTTTCGTCTATGATGTAGTTTGCATGTTACTAACTGAAGCAAAATCTGGATATATTTTTGGAATTCAGTTTTGTGGGGTGGGAGAATGAACAATTGTATGAATTACTCTGTGATTTTGTAATATTCAATGATACGTAATCCATTATTTGTGTTTCTCATTTGAAAATTTTTAACTGAAATCCAATATGCCAAGAGAGAAGAATTTATCCTAAAAAACAGATTTATATGGGACCTTTGTTGTTGTTGTTATAATTTAAGAAAGTCAGTCTTTCTGGAAAGAATAAAGAGTTCATAGTATATAAACAGATTTTTTATTTTTTTTTTAAAGAGAAGAGTGAAGAGGAAGGAATAAGAGGAACTAAAAGTACATTTTATTTCATTTTTATTTTTAGTGTGGCAAATGGATACAACTTCAACTGGCTGAATCACAGCCCAATCTCCTAGAAATTGGTAGCAGTCAAGATGAAACCAAAAAACTTCTTCATGACCATGAACTTCTTTTGGCCAAACTCAAGGTAAGCTATTATGCTGTGAAGCAGATACAAAATTAAAGAGGAATAAAAAGCTACTTCCACACTTCCTCGCAGTTCCTTCTGGTGTCACCGTCCTCATGGTCTTTTTAATATGGTGCCAGATAGATAAGGAAAAAATGCTACTGTTATTATGAACAAACACCAACATTGGCAAGAAGTAACTGGATTTTTTTTTTTTAACTTTCCTTAATGTGTAGAAAATATGTAGTGATGATATTTTCATTGTGGAGAAATGCATATTTTTTTTCCTGGCTGCTTCTGTTAAAAAAAAAAATCATTTTTCCATTTCATGCATTAAACTGTCAAAGCACAACAATAGATCCAAACTTTCTGTTGTTAATGATCCCTACTGGCAGGGATAATTTAGAGGTGTTTTTGTCCCCTGTTGAGCTATTGAAAATATCTGATTTTTGCTTAATATTGAGAGCTCTTGAAACCAAATAATACTTTTAGTAAAATCAGAGTTATAATTCCATATATGTTGTGACTATTTTATTAATATTCTAAAATAACATTGGTTTGAGACTGCCAGAGAAGAGGTCTAAGATCAGCTATGTAGTTTGATGCGTTCAATGCAAAATAAAAAGGTAGGACATTTGGGGAAAAAAAACAGGAAAAAGCTTTCTCTTGACGTATCGTGATATATTATATTTGCATTTAATATCTAAGGAGCCCTGGTGCAGTGGTTAAGCAGCTTGACTGCTAACTGAAAAGTGGGTGTTTCAAACCCCCAGCTGCTCTACTGGAGAAAGGTGTAGCAGTCTTCTGGTCTTCTGTAAATATTACAGCCTAGGAAACCCTATGGGATAGTTCCACCCTGTCCTAGAGGGTCACTGACAGTCATAATGGACTATACACACACATTTAATATCTACTTTCTTCAGGCATTGTGGGTACTTGCCAGGTTAGTGCAGATCCTCACAGACACCCAGAGCCTTCAGAGCTTCAGTACGTGGGGTGGGCCTGACCTCCACCTCCACCTCCCCCAAGCACACATCCAGGCTCCCATTGGAAGTTGAGAGGTGTAGTCACTAGGTGGAAGGGGAGTGGAAAAAACAAGAGAGAGACCTGGGTGGCAGGGAGGTGGTGAAAGGCAAGACTGTGTGTGAGCTGGGCTCCAATATGATGCCCCCCACACTTGTTCTGCTGTTCCATTCGACTTCATTTCCAAAACACAGAACCAAGGATAACATCATTCAGAAATTCAAGGCAGAACTGATGGAACATTTAACCCCAAATGGGGTCCCCATCTGAGCACAGACCCTGTGATGTAGCCAGCCCTGTGAGACAAATTAATGTCTTCATTAATCAAAGAAGTGTGGTAAGGATTCAGAGGACTGCAATGTCTATGATGTTCTGCATTTTCAGTTGTTTAGTAACACTGATTTCTCTGAACATTTAGACTAGAATTAACACCTGCTTTCTAGATTCAAAAGCGTTCTGGTGGTGCAATGGTTAAAGCAGTTAGCTGCTAAGCAAAAGTCAGTGGTTTTAACCCAGTAACTATGAGGCAATCTGCCTTGGAAACACCATGTGGCAGTTCTACACTGACCTTTAGGGTTGCTATGAGTCAGAATTGGTTTGGTTTTGGTTTCTAGATTCAGAGGCAGATCTGACCCACATCTGATATATATGGACAGTGGTTTTCTTCAGACAATGGTAAAAGTAATTGGATATCAGATTCGATAAATCGAAAAAGAATTAGTACTGAAGCAGTTATTTAGATTTCAGAACTTATTCTCTTCTTTGGATAGCTTCTTGCTCAGGGCTGTGAGGTGTCTTTCAAAGTAGAAATCTCTGCTCACTAGGAACTCCACTGTATACCAATAAACCACCACCCGTCCAAACAAATTATGTTGTGGGCATTGAACCAGGAATCAAAAAACCCATGTTTTAGTTCTGACTATGCCACTTTGCTGTTGTGTGCCTTTGAGTCATTTCTGACTCATAGTGACCAATTACCTTTTAATTAGGAGCCGAGTTTCAACCATTCATTGTGCCACTGAAAATCAAACCCATTGCTTTTGAGTCAATTCCGACTCAGTGACCCTACAAGACAGAGTAGAACTGCCTCATAGGATCTCCGAAGCTAAAATCTTTATGGAAGCAGAATATCTTTCTCCTATGGAGTGGCTGGTGGGTTTGAACTGCCAACTTTTTAGTTAGAAGCTTAGCACTTAACCACTGTGCTACAAAAAAAAAAAAAAAAAAAAAAAAACCACCAAACTCACTGCCGTGGAGTGGATTTCAACTCATAGCAATCCCTCCTTGGGTTTCTGAGGCAGTATCACTATGGAAGGAGATAGCCCCATCTTCTAAGAAGTGGCTGGTGGGTTTGAACCACCAGCCTTCTGGTTAGCAGTCCAATGCCTTAGGCACTATGTCACCAGGGCTCCTTTAATTATGTCACTAACTAGTATAATTCCACTAATAACTCACTCTTTCTGCTAACCAAAAACCTGAGTAAACTTGGCTTCAATTCAATGAGCTGTGAAAACAACACTTGCAATTCCTGCTCGTTATCAGAGGGCTTATTTTCTTATGGTCTACAGCGTGTTGTTTCTTCATAAGCACCCACCAGTTTCTCCTCAAATTAACCTGGACTTGAACCCACACTCCTTCCCCCATTCACATTAATAATTCAGTCCAGTCATCACTTTTAGCACTGATGAATTGTAGGTGGTGGTGAAGCCCACTTTCTGAGTTTCTCAGAGTCCCTCTCTTGTCCTCCACTCCCTACTCTTGTTATGACCCATAACTCCAGGGAGAATCTTTCTTAAGGGGAGCAATTTAACTTTCCTCAGCTCCTGTGCTCAAATTTGCATACCTAAATCCATCAAGGAGCTCAGGAGGAAGAAAGTTTTCCATTAAACAGGATCCATTATCCTTAGAAGGTGTTTGGGATTCTAGATTACAAGTGTCTTGTCCTTTTATACCAGACTTCAGGTTTTGCACTAGCCACTTGAGTCCTGTGGAATTCATACCTTTTATCTGTAAAATAAGGAGAGAGGACAGCTCAAAGCTTCATATCTACTGTGAATCTTACTTTAATGGCCAAGGGATCATGGGATCACTCTTTCTCCCTGTGTGTGGGACTAGGAACATGTACTCTCTAATAGGACTCTAACCATAATTCTCTTGATGCCCATCTCCCATATGGTCGCCCACCCCAGCCACCACCATCAACTCAGCCATTACAGCCCAAGAAATTTTCAGTTGTAACATCATGTGCTAGATACAATGGATTCCAATGTTTTTTTTTTGTTTTTTTTTGTTTTGTTTTTAATGGTCTGGGATCCTGAGATCTGTTTCAGATTTAACAACCAAAGATTTTTAAAAATGAAAATGTAAATTCTATTTTGCAAGTGAGTAGATAACTAGTCAATCAAAGTTACCAGTTATTATGTTGGCACCACCTTAACCTGTGGCAGAAAATATTGGATCAAAGTTTGTTTTAATATGAGCTTTTTGAAAGATAGGGATATTAGTAGTTCAATAAGCCAGTAATGTTTAATATTTAATGTTCACTCTGTCCTTTTCCTATGCCCAGGGAACTATAATTTGTTCTAATTATAAAGAAGAATTCTCTGTAAGGGTGTTTAGTCCACTCTGAGTTGTGCAAAGCAGCTAGCCTCTCTGATCTCAGGTTCTTTACTCGAAAACATACGATAATAGTTACCTTCACATTCCTAATTACAAAACTTTGGGGAGAAATATGATGATGTATGGGAAGGGCATGCTGCTTTCTAAAGAAAAGGGAGCATAATTGTTACACTAATGAACATATCAAAGTACTTCGGATGTTTAAATGACTAGAACAGCTATTTTCTGCCTTCCATTGAAAATTATTTCAAGCCCTAGCAATTTAGACTAAAGGGAAAAATTCCAAAACACAGAATTTTTATAAACCTTTATAATGTTCATAATGTCTGTCCCCCAGAGATCTTATTTTCCCTTCAGCAATGTACTTAACAATTCCAGTGAAGTATCAGGGGGAAAAAAATCCTAACTTTCTGCAGTGAAAACATAATCATGTGGGAAAAGCATAAACTCCCCAAAGCCATCTAGTTCTCAAAGCACTCCCAAATTATTTCTATGAGAAAGGAGAAATTAGGGAAAGAGAAGGAGAAGGCAGATTAAGGCCCATGGTGAAGCCCTGCCAGTGGCCACTAGGGACATTGCATCCTCAGGTGGGGGCAAAGTGACTCAAGGAAGAAAGCAGAGTTGAAAATACCTCAAGGGTGTTGCTGAGAACTTCCTTCTCCTCAGCATCTGCCTTTCAACTGCATTACTGCTGTCCAAAGGAATTATGAATATAAGAACCAAGACATTCCAGCCAGTATCTCTGTTTGTAGATACGTGCTATTTGTTATCCAGTAAAGAATGAATCCTTAAGTTGAAAACAGTGAAAAATTTTACCTCTGATTTTACTCTTATAAATCTATTGGTTCTTTGATTATGACTAAGTTTCTGACCCAATAAATGCTATTTTATTCCTATTCCTATTTATTTAAGAAAAAAAGAAACAAAGTTGCTGTCAAGTTGACTCTGACTGATGGTGACCCTGTTTGCGTCAGAGTAGAACTGCGCTCCAGAATGTTTTTTCAGAAGTACGTCACCAGGCCTCTCTCTCAAGTGTCTTTAGGTAGACTTGAACCTCTAGCCTTCTGGTTAGCAGCTGAACATGTTAACCACTTGCACCAACCACGGGCTCCTTCTGTTTACTTAGCAAAAGGTAAATGCAGATATACTCAGAACATATTAATAATAAAACTAAAAGTCTTATCAGAACTTGCCTTAAATAAAAGATAGTGACATTTTCTGCTGTTAATCTGAGTACTTACCTAAGAATGCATTTTGATAAAGTAAAACTATCATTTGAATTATATTAGAGAAAATTTATAGTATGTGTGTTGTGAATATGATGGAACCCTTTAAAGTGGAATTGGATGAAAACTAATCTCTTTTACCTATCTGTCTGA